ACATCTGGATAAAATTTGGCATCCTGCAGGAGGAACACGGTGGAAAACCCCACATTTGCACCGGAGGAATCCCTAAAATCATAGTGTAGCCTTTATTGTCCATGTACATCATGTAAAAGGCAATGGTAAAGGTTCCCCTCACATATGTGTTAGTCGTTCCTGACTCTAGGGGGCGGTGCTCATCTCTGTTTTAAAGCCAAAAAGCCAGCGCTGTCCGGAGATGTCTCCGTGGTCATGTGGCCAGCATGACTAAATGCCAAAGGCGCACGGAACGCTGTGACCTTCCCACCAAAGGTGGTCCCTATTTTTTCTACTTGCATTTTTTCACGTGCTTTCGAACTGCTAGGTTGGCAGAAGCTGGGACAAGGAATGGGAGCTCACTCTGTTACGCGGCGCTCGGGATTCGAACCGCCGAACTGCCAACCTTTTTGATTCATCAAGCTCAGCGTCTTAACCATTGAGCCACCGTGTCCCCCTGTACATCATGTACACCATGAAATTGGTTATTTCGTTGACATCATCGGCTTTCCCACTCCAGCATCACCACCACCCCGAGAGTGGGAGGGGGCGGGGGAAACAGACTCCCTTCGCGGCCATTCAGAACCAATCATCCCCAACGTGGTTGGATTTCGTGACAGGGGCACAACCTATCTGCTTGGGGAAAAGCTGATCGGAGATGATTCTCTGGGCACCTCGCGGAGCACCTTTAAAGGCGCTGAAGAAATCCCCCCTCCTCGCAAAAGCCAGTCTGGAAAGGTTTTCTTGCCGGGTTCTGCATAGAAGGTGTCAGCTTTAGCGAAAGGAGGACTGATGGAAGGAAAACTTTGCTGGCATTAAGGCAGACAGAGGGTTCCCATCAGGACTTCAGAACCTACCTACCCCCCTGCAGTCCAAGCCCAGNATGTTATGGCGTTTTAGGAGTTTGTTTTCTCCTGTGTGGTTCAGCGTGGCTCTGCATGCCCTGGGATGAACTGGGCCATGGGTGACCCACACCTACACAAGGAACTATATTACAACAACCCACCATCATTGTGGTGGAGGGAAGCATCCTCAGAAGCTTCTGAAGGACGGCTCTGCTGCAGTTCATAGAAAGGGAGAGGAGTGGCCTGCACCTGCAACATATCACATTCCCAATGTTATTAACCATACCAGAAAGCGGAAAGCCCCCGAGTTTCAAACCAGCTTCATACAGCTTCCTCTCCTGAAAACGCAGAAACGAAACCTGCAATCCGGGCATCTGGGTAGGCCACGACACTCTGCTAAACGCTGACCACTGGTTGCCAGCAGCATATGACTGCACCAGTCAAGTGGGGAGCAGACATCTCTGCTGGTCCTTCCAGCTGCCCAAAAATGGAAAGCGCCTTTAGTCTCCGAATGTGTGCCACAGCAAACAACACCGGGGAGAAGCTTACCCACCCTCCATTTCCCAGCTGCTGCCATCACCCCGCTGCTTCCTGTCCTTCTTCCTGTCTTCCCTTGGCCACGGAAAGCACCTGGAAAGCAAAAAATGGAGATGGACTAGAGAAAGGGATTTTTGCAGGGTCACTCAAGTACTCCGCTCCAGCAGCTCTGGAAGAGGAAGATCAATCTCCTGTCTCAATAAAGTATAGCTCTCTCTCTCAATGGCCACAGGGAATCAACTCAGTGACACCCCAGCCCTCGCCCAATATATCCCCACTGCTAACTGGGTTGAGCTCTTCACGCAACATATTACCTGCCTGATTCAGTGAAGCCTGTCTTGCAACGAGAACCTTTGCAAATGAATCAATTTAGAAAGTTGGATGGAAACTGATAAGTGGAATTCAGAAATGGCCCATGTTCAATCCACTGTCACAACCGCTGGTCTCCACACTAACGGTCTCCACACCCTTAGCTAGGCCTTGCCTTGACAGAAGAGTCCACTTGACCAGTCCAGAGGCTTCACTGCAGACAGGGAAGAAGCCTCAATTGCATTCACTGCAGTGCAAAGCAGCAGCGCCTTTAATACAGGTTGGTGCTGCAAAGTTCAAACTCTGTTTTTTTTCTTCTCTGTTGACCACTGGCTCCTTTATCAGATTTATCCCTCATATCCAAACGCAAATGCAGAAATAAAATTTAGGTTACAAAGCTGTGCTTGTGTTTTTAGCAGCAATTCCAGGCTTCTTGTTCTTAACTGAGCTAAAGAAGATTTTTTAACAAGGGAGAGACTTTGCTGTGCTTCTACAAACCCAGTTACTCCTTCTGATGACATATGCAAGAAAAACACAATGGAACTACAAAACCTATGCTAAGCAAGGGTAAAAATCAAAAGGCACCTGGAAGCACCTTTTCCAACAACTCTTAAGCTGCCCAGAGTCATTTGCTGAGATGATATATATGGTATGAACGAACAAATGAGTGAATGAGTGAGTGAATGAATGAAATTAAATAAATAAATATAACCTGTGAACCACCCAGAGTCATTTGCTGAGATGATATATATGGTATGAACGAACAAATGAGTGAATGAGTGAGTGAATGAATGAAATTAAATAAATAAATATAACCTGTGAACCACCCAGTCATTTGCTGAGATGGGCAGCTGAAATAAAGCAAATATAAAATGTGTTTTATTAATAGGGAAATGTTCTTTGTCAGTGATGCTTCCTTTGATAGGAGCCTAGGGTAGCTAGACTGATGAAGAATTTAAATTGGGGAGAGATAGAAAAGGAGGGGGAGACAGATTGATTATGCGGATTATTCATGAGACAGAACCTTATCAATTACAAGTATCTTCATCCGATGAAGCTCACAGAAGCTTATGCCTTTTGGCAAAATACATTAGTCAGAAAAGGTACTATTGAACTCCTGATTGTTGTCATCACATACTAACACTGCCCGTTTCCTACAATGCCCCTGTGAGTATTTCCCATCTTTCCAAGCCATACTTACTATGCATTCACTGATGCTGGAAAGTATACATTTAATCCTTATTACAAAAATACACAATACTGTGAAGTCACTTTCTACCCCCAGTCCAACTAAATCCTGGAGCATAAAAAGTATTTCCTTCCAGCTTTAAAACACATTTTAATAAAATCCAAGAAGAGAGTTAAACAGAGAAACTCCAGCAAAATAAAAATAAAAAATTCCACAGCCCTATGTGCCAACTGTCATTCATTGCAAGCTACCCTAAACTAATTTTATTTATGACAGCCCTGCTTAAAACGGGTGCCAACCTACACAGTCCTTTTGTAGAAAAAAAAGATTCTGGAGAAATTAAAAGATACAAGTTCAATCTGTACTAAACCAAAGACTGTTTGATGAATGTAAACCAAGGGAAGCATATTGTCTTCAGTTGAATTTCATCCAAGCAGGAAAGCGGAGCTGGAGACTTTAAGGTCTGTCGTGCCTACCTTAACTCAGAAGTAGAAAAGCCACAAAAAGGCCTAAAAAGAAATGTTGCATTCAAGTAACTCACTGCTATTAGTGGGCCATATACAACCAAAAGAAAGACTATTTTGTTATGAATTCTACAGTAACCTGGCTGAGAAAGCAAAACAAAAAAACAAAAAAAAACAGGACTTCTGGCAATCATCCTCAGGCACCAATCTAAATTCACAGAACATCCCCAAAACTAAAACACAATCCTTTCCCTCCCCACTGTACCCCACACTATCTACATACAACAGGCCTTCCTTTCCTCTCACACATTTCATACAGATCCTAACTTGATCAACCCCTAGCCAAGCAGCTAATGCAGAAATACGATTCGCCCCCCAAGGGTGACCATTTTGGAAGATGCTTTTCAGATAAACCTCCCCCTCTGGCACCCCCACCTTCTCACCAGAAACAACCCTCCCCCTTAAGGGAGTGCTGGAGACCTATTTCACATTTAGTTATGTGAGATTTGGCAATTTCCACCTCCTGTTGTATAGCAATCAAGTATTAAACGCAATGTGTCCCCCACCAAAGACATTTCATAGGTCTAGGTATCAAAAGCACGTCTATCTAATTCAGAAAATAAGGCGGATTTGCCAGCAAGGCGTTCCTACTATCCTGTAAATTTTAAAAAGTTGACCATCTCGTCACCAGATGTCAGATTCAACTCAAGAGATCTTTGGTAAAAGACAATACCAGTGGGAACAAGCCAGGATCATCCTTCAGGGTTAGCTGGAAACAGAGCATCACCCTACACAAATCAGATGCAATTTCTTTCCCACCATCACCAGCACCACTTCCGGTTGTGAATCCAGCATGAAACAACCGTCCCCCCACACCACCACCCACCGCATCCCGCTGATCTTCTGGTACCAATCCAGGGTGGGGATACGCAGCCACTCCAAACATCCTTTTCCTCGGACAAGCCACTCTCTCTCTCTCCCCTCTTCCGAGAATTGCAGGCACGGAGCTCCCCCCCCCTTCAAAGCGAAAGAGAAAGCGGGCGGGTGTGGGAAAAGATCCGTTCCAGGAAAAAGAAAGGGAAAGGCAAGAAAAGATCTAGGCGAAAGTCACCACCCTTCTGGCCCACCGGGGTCACTTCGCCCATTCCGGAGAAGCCGGTTTCCATCCCCCTGGAAGGGACCTTTGGAGGTCTTCTAGTCCAGCCCCCTGCTCAAGCACCAACCTTGCACCCAGGCAGCCTTGCACGGCCGGCTTCCTGGCGCCGCCCGGTTTTGCATGGCCTTCTTGGCCGGGAAGGAGACGGCTGGCTCCCGCGGGGGGCCCTTTTCTTCCTTCCATCCTTCCTTCTCCTTTCTTTCTCCTCGGTCTTCTCCTACTTTCAGTCTTTTTTCCTTTCTTCCCCCTTCCCTTCCTTCTCCTTTCAGACTTTTTTCCTTCCTTCCCTCCTTTTCTTCTCCTCCATCTCCCTTCTCCTTTCAGTCTTTTTTCCTTCCTTCCTTCTCCTTCCCCTCAATCTCCTCCCTTCTCCTTTCAGTCTTTCCCCCCATCTTTCCTTCCTTCCTCCCTTCTACTTTCAGTCTCCCTCCCCCACCCTTCCTTCCTTCCCCCCATCCTCCGGACCGGGTGGCCAAGGATACTGTTGGGGCGGCGGGGCCTGCAGAGCCCTCATGCCGGCGGAGTGAGACGGCGGTGGCACCGCAGCGGCAGCAGCAGGGGTCCCGGNATCTGTCTCTGCCACGCAGCAATTTGTCTTGTGGAGCAAACAGCAAGTTTCACTTTCAGTTTAAGTGGCCCTCCCGATCATCAGCTGTTTCAGGCTGCAGGGATTGCTATAGCTGATTGCAGCCTCCGCAAGTCCCAATTTCCCGGTTTGCTGCAAGGAGGTAAATTGCTAGAAGGCAGAGGCCAAAAGGTGGGGGGCAGGTGGGTGGGTGAGGTTACATTCAGTGTATAAGACACACCCAAATTTTCACCCTCTGTTTGGGAGAAGAAAGGTGCATCTTATACTCCGAAAAATTTTGTGCTCCGGAGATGCCCGTTTGATTTAGTACTGGCTTCTAACTACACTTCCCATCACTCTGAACCAAACCCAGGTTTAGCTGGGAGTTTTGGGAGCTGCAGTCCAAGGGACCCAGGATGCTGAGCGGAGAGCCCTGGAGCGTCTGTTCGCTCCCACAAGGGGTTGGCCCAGAGCGCTTTGAGGGAGGCAGAGAAAGCTGGATGCTCCCGCCAAGTGAGGCCTTTGCTCCCAAGAACCCCTCCGGCTACCTTCTGAATTTGATCCACCAGCGGTCTGGCTTGCAGCTCCTCTATTCGGCTCTCGTTCATGCAGGACTGGTAGTAACGCTGCACTTTGCGTTCAGCCTCGCTCAACGATGAGGCGGCTGTGGTGTTCTCTGCAGAGAGGAGAGACCAATGAAGACCCCGACCTCCTGCGCCCCACAGCCAGTGGTGAAATCTAAATTTTTTTGCTACCGGTTTGTTGGTGGGATCATGTGACTGGGTGGGCATGGCTATGTAGTCATGTAACGAGAGGATCAAAAGACAGAAATTCACAATGTCCTGCTGGAGCAGGGTTGGACTAGATGACCTCCAGGTCCCTTCTGGCTCTGGATTATCCTCTGAAACTGCGTCTAGTGCCTTGTAGTCTTTCCTTCCTATCCTTTTTCCCTCCCTCCCTCCCTCTCTTTCTTTTTCTTTCCTTCTCCCTTCTTTCCTTTTTCTTTCTTTCTTTCATTCTTTCTTTCCTTTCTTCCCTTTCTTTTTCTTTCCTTCCTTTCCTTCCTTCCTACTCACCCTCCCTCCCTTTCTCTCTTTCTTTCTCTTTCCTTCTCCTTTCCTTTTTTCTTTCTTCCTTTTTTTTCCTTCCTTCCTTCCTTTCCTTCCTTCCTACCCACCCCTCCCTCCCTTTCTATCTCTTTCTTTCTCTTTCCTTCTCCCTTCTTTCCTTTCTTTCTTTCTTTCTTCTCTTTTTCTTTTTCCTTCCTTTCCTTCCTTCCTTCCTCCCACCCTCCCTCCCTCCTTTCTTTCTATATCTTTCTTTCTCTCTTTTTTTTTCTTCCTTCCTTCCTTCCTTCCTTCCTTCCTTCCTTCCTTCCTTCCTTCCTTCCTTCCTTC